ATCTGAAGCCAGGAGCCAGGAGCTTCTTTCAGGTCTCCCACGCAGCTGCAGGGCCATCTCCTATTGCTTTCCTAGGCCATAAGCGAAGAGCTGGATCAGAACAGGAGCAGCTGGACACGGACCAGACTAGCAACCGTATGGGATGTCAGTGCCACAGGCCAAGGCCTAGCCTACTACATTGCAGCGCCAGCCCCGGTATTTCTTCTTAATATCACAACTTCCATCTTGGATCAGTTTCCTTCTGCCTGAAATAATGCTTCAGATCTTTGCCTAATAAAGCCCTTTTGATGTGAGGCTCTCTCAGATGTTGTTTGTTGAGTCTGTATCCCTTTTCCTGAAAGATATTTTTTGCAGGGTCCACAATGCAAGTTGACAAAGCTTTTGCAGCACCTGGAGGGTGTCCCACCCCTCTTTGGCTTCTGTAACCATCTGTAATCATCCAGATTTGTTTTTCCTTTGAAGGTAATCTTTCTTCTCCTCTGGTTTGGGCGTTCTGCAGTTTTGCCCTGATGATTCCTGTTAAGGTTGTCAACCACGATGGAGAGTGACAACCAAGACCACGCTGAGCAAAGAAAGTTTTATTAGGGTGAAGAACTGCCCGGAGCAGCCTCAGAGGGGGAGGAGCTGGGGGCTCCTGTGTAAGGCTGGGGCTTCATAGGGAGCTGTGTCAGGGGAGGAGGGAGACAGTGGGGAGCGGCCAAACTAAGGGATGTGGGATGCGGGCTGGGGCGGCTGGGGAGGGTCTCAGATACCGTGAGACAGGTGTCCCCGGACACAGGGACCTCAGGGCTGCCTGATTGGTAGCTGGGGCAGTGATAGGGACTGGGGGGCACAGGAAGTTTCCCCGACTTGCAGCTGGGACAAATTGTGGGCGCGGTGAGATGAGGTGAGGCGCACGCTGCCTCTGTGTTTTTGTTTTCCTGACGCCAGGAAAGCATAGGGGAGATGTCTCGGACCCGAGTGGATTCAGGACTCGCACGATTCCTAGTTTGTCCGTCTTGGGATTTGGGATTCCTAAATTTGTAGACTGGGGTCTTTCATCAGCCATTATTTTTTTTTCCAGCATCAAATATTGTTTTTACCATCTTCTTCCTCACCTCTCCTTTTGGACATCTTTATCTGCTTAAATTTTCCATCCTTTTGTCTCTCTGAACTGTGCCTCCAGATAATCGCCTATTTTAAAAAAGTAAAACATCTTTATTCAAACAATATATATTGTAAACAAAGAAAATTCTAAAGATTGTATAAAACTACTAAATATAACACGGCCTTAGGATACAGTTTTTAAAAATCAATTGTATTCGCCGGCGCCCTGGCTCACTAGGCTAATCCTCTGCCTTGTGGCACCGGCACACCGGGTTCTAGTCCCGGTCGGGGCGCCAGATTCTGTCCCAGTTGCCCCTCTTCCAGGCCAGCTCTCTGCTGTGGCCAGGGAGTGCAGTGGAGGATGGCCCAAGTGCTTGGGCCCTGCACCCCATGGGAGACCAGGATAAGTACCTGGCTCCTGCCATCAGATCAGCATGGTGCGCCAGCCACGGCGGCCATTGGAGGGTGAACCAACGGCAAAAGGAAGACCTTTCTCTCTGTCTCTCTTTCTCACTGTCCACTCTGCCTGTCAAAAAAAAAATCAATTGTATTTCTACATATGCTACAAACATTGAAAAAAAAAATCTGTTCCAAAAAGGCAATCACAGATGGATGACCTCGACACTTACCCGTTTTCTGTGTCAGTGTGGGCTGGGCCATGCGGCCATTACTGGTGATTTAGTTAGTAGACCTGGAGTCAGGCAGATAGCCTGCACCGTGGGGGTGGAGCTCACCCAGTTGAAGGCTTTAAGAGAAAAAGGATTGGAAGGGCTTGCTCTGCCTGCTGGAGCATCCAGCGTTCCAATTCGTCTTTATTTCTTTTAAGATTTATTCATTTGTTTGAAAGGCAGAGTTACAGAGACAGGGAAGGCTGGGCAGCCCAAAGCCAGGAGCCAGGGGCTTCACCCAGGTCTCCCATGTGGGCGCAGGGGCCCAAGCACTTGGGCCATCTTCCACTGCTTTCCAAGGTGCATTATTAGCATGGAGCTGGATCTGAAGTGGAGCAGCCGGGGCTTGAACTGGTGCCCCCATGGGATGCCGGTGCCATAGGCAGAGGATCAACCTGCTGAGCCACAGTGCCAGCTCCTAAGCTAATTCTTTAAACTCTCTCCCCTCCTGCACACACACACACTCACATGCACACACACACATGCACACACGCACACACCCACTATTGGGTCTGTTTCCCTGGGGAACCCTAACACACTCCTTCCTGCCCAGTTCACTTACTCCTTTTAGTTGCGTGTCAACTGCTCTTATTTGCTCCCCTTTCTGCCACCCCACCCAGATCTGTTTGGCCACTTGTTGCTCTGCAGTAGAATATAACTGCTGGTTCGAAACTCCACTTCCCTTCTTGTGAGGGACGCCACACTCCGGCCTGCTGCTGTAGGGCTTGCAACAGGGTCCTCCTTGGGAAAGCGTACACATCCCCCGTTCTCTTCACCTTATACTTGGCCATGCCTTTGGCAGAAAGAATGAAGACAGAGGCTTCACGCTCCCTGTCCATGCAGAGGCGCTGAGAAGCCGTGTGTGGACTGCCATTCCCTGCCGGAGTCCAGCTCCAGCAGGTCCAGGGGTTCCTGAAGGTGTGGGAGGCGTTGGTGCAGGGAGAAATGAGAGACTCTCACAGCAAGCTGATGGCGCGGCTCTGCTCTCCAGCACCAGACTTGATATCATGTCGCACAATGATTCTCTCTTCTTACAATAACGAGTCTGTTGTCCATTTTCTTAGAACCACTGACCTTGTATCTTATGGTGCCTCTAGGTTCTATGTCTGCATCTAGTTACAATTTCTTTGACGTTCAATGGCATATTGAGAGCATGGGTTACTATCACCGACAGGTGCGAGACCACGGGCTGCCCACACAAGCCAAGGCCAGGAGTGCTGTTGAGCTAGAGGACCACCTTCCTAATCTAATCTTTACTAGAAGCCCAATGTTCAAAGCAGGCCCTTTTTAAATGCTTCCCCTCTTCTGCAGTTCTTTCTGTAACTCTTTCATTTCTTTATTGTACTTACCTAAAGGTTCACTAGGTCTATTCCACTTCTGACATCCTAACCATTGTTGTATTTGTAGCACATATTGAATTAAAGCTGTAATAACATTTATCTTTATTCTAGTGGGACGTATGTACCAGGGAGCCTGTTGCCTTTTAATTCTTTTCCACAAACAGCTCAACCTTGTGTGAAGCATTAACCCCTTCTCCTACATAACATTCTGCTTGATTAAAACTCTACAAAGCAATGGACGTTTTGGGGGTTATGAGACTAAGCGCTTTTCCCTGAAATTAGCGGGGCCACCAGGAAGCTCCGGCTTTCTTACGCAGAGTGTAGTTCCCAGCAAACCTAAAACCATCACGAGGACTGCAGCTGTCCTTCTCAGCCTTGCTGGGACCTTGTCAGCCAGCCCAAGTTGCCTCGGCCTCGCCAGTCTCCCACTGTCTGCCTCTGGCGTGTCCTAGAGCGAACCTGTCACTGAGACCCCCGCAGGTCCACAGTTGTCCCCCAGCCCATGGGACATGAGCTTGAATCGCATCCGTGAGCAGAGAAGAGACACCAAGGCCTTTCCCAGGAAGTAGGCTGTGATTATGTCTGCACAAGGCTCTGTTGGATTTGTATCCAAAAGACTGAGCCTCCAACAAAGAAGGGATTTTCCTTATCTGTGTTTTTAGCTTCTTTGCCTCCCTTATATGGCTGCATGGGTATGTTACGTGGCAGCTGTAGGAACTGATACAACGCTGCCCATGCTTACATAGTCACTGATGAAGTTTCCTTCCTGGAAAGGGTTAACACCATGCTCTGTGCTAGTAGGGAGCCGAATCAGTTACCTGCGGGCAGATGTCGGCTACAGCGGAGACATTCACAGGCAAGCAGGTACTGACCACATTCCATTCCCAGGATAAGTTTCTTTTCTTTTCTTTTTCTTCCTGACCTTGGGAAGGCCTCTCCCAGGACTCCCGGCCTACAGGTCAGCAGCAAGGGGTGCTGGGAAAATGAGCATGTGGTGATGTAAGCCCCTCAGGGGGGGGGGGGTCAGCTTCTTAGGTGGGAGAGCCCTCAATATGTGAAAGGAGTCAAAGGTGGAACAGGATTGAGAGCGAGGCGGTTCCTTTTCTCCCCTCCAACCCACCTACGCATCCACAAGGGTGGAACTCAAGACGGCTCTCGGCTGAGCCCCACGTCCAGGGAGGCAGAGCTTGGGTGGGGAAGAGAGCGAATTTCTCTCTTGTCCACAGACCAGCTCCAGACTGGCGTAAGGCACTGAGCATAATGCTGATGGCCTCTCTATGTACTTGAAAGTAACTTGAAAAATACTGAACCCTAAAATGGGGGGGGGGCAATAAACTTGCGATCCATGTCCCTCGTGACTTGCCTTTAAAAACGCCAGTTTCCAGAAGTGTTTTTCCTACGCCGGGGCCTGTAATGAATCTGCTGTCCCAGGCCATCTGGCACAGCGAGGGGGACAGCGGTTCCAGCCCGTGTGGGCGGAGGTGGAGCACCTGCAGGATTGAGGCTGGAGGAACGGCTGTGGTTTATGCATGCCGGCTGCGCGCTGGCCACTGGGGCAGGGGTTTGGATAAACTGTTGCTAACCTTCAGATCTTTCCGTCCCCAGTGCAGGTGAAGAAGCAGCAGAGAGACCCCCAGGCCAGTGAATGTCTGAGCTGGAACTGAAACCCTGGGAACTTCTGTCCCTTGAAGCTTCCTGGGCCGAGAGCTCGCGATGACTCAAGGCCTGCAGAGGGCTGGCGTGGAGGCGCAGCGGGTTAAGCCGCTGCCTGGGACGCTAGCAGCGCACAGCAGAGCGCCGGTTTGAGTTCCAGTCGCTCCACTTCCAAATCAGAAGGCCCAAGTACTTGCGCCCTGACAACTATATGGTGTGGTGGGGCGCATCGTGCAAAAGTCCAGCAGAGCGGTTAAGTTAAATGAGGAGTCTTTATTAGTCATCTGGCGCCTGCCCTCCTCTAGAACAAGTCCAGGGAAGACAGCCGAGTCGCAGCCGTGGGGCGTAATTAAAGGCAGAAACTACATGTCGGTGGCCTTGACCTTTATCAAGGAAGCAAGCAAGCAGAAGTACAGAAGCCAGAACTATGCTGGTTACAGCCAGATGAGCAGACCCATATCTGTAACTCGTTTCTCTTCAAGGAACAGTCCCTGCTCTGGAGCAACCAAGCAAAATAGCCTAAAGCCACTCGGGCTGGCTACGTCCTATGGGAAAATTTTAAACTTCAAGCCACCTTGTCACAATGGGAGACCCTGGTTGTGGCCTAGCCCTGATCTGGCTGTGGCAGCTATCTGGGGAGTGAACCAGTGGATGGACGATTCTCTCTCTCACTCTCTCTCTCTCTCCCTGTCTTTCTAATAAATAAAATAAATGCTTAAAAAAACCCAAAAAGACCAGACCTCAGACCCAGCCCAGCACCCGCCCCGTGGCAGGCAGGGAACAGGAAGTTCCCGGATGAAGAGGTGTCCAGACGTGACACGAGAGCCTCACTCAGTAGTGAACGATGACACACATGTGGCATCAGCACCGTCACACAGAGTGTGGCCTGAGAGCACCAGCGGCATACAAAATAAACTCAGGTAGAAAAAGAAATCCTGTCTGCTTCTGAGGGCCCAAGTAGCTGGTGTCTGCCCGGCGTCGGGCTGACCGCTCCGCGTGGACGTGGGGTTCGCGGCCGGCTGTCTCGGGGGCCCGGCAGGCAGCGTCTCCCAGCACCTGTGTCTTCACGCCTCCAAGCATTTCTGTCCATGCCATGAACGCGTGGCCCGCGCGTGAGTGAATCGAAGAGGCTGCACGCGGGACTCTCGGTGGACAGCTTGTGAAGGGGTCACCGGAGCCTTGAGCGAGCAGGACACTCCGGCGGGGGGGGCAGTTCCTCTGCTGTCAGCTCTTCAAAGCCAGCTCTGAGGTTGCCGGGGCGAGTCCGGCCTCGGCGAGTTCCGGATCTGGGGAGTGCTCCGAGGCGCCTGGACCGTCCTTGTCCCTCTGGTCCCCCTGCGAGGTGGATGTGGGAGCTGGGGCGTGGCCAGGCCCGGCTTGGGGGGCTTCCTCCTCGGCAATGGAATCTGGGGGCTCCTGCCCAGACAGGGTCCCGAGGCCACAGCTCTCACCGGGACTCTGCTTGCTGCCTTCGGAGTCTTCCGCAACGACACTGAGTTTGTCAAAAACTTCATTCTCGTCCAGCAGTGGGAAGGAGAAAAACAGACGCGTGCCGTGATGAGGGTTACCTAGGAACTGGAGAGGAGCAGAACCATTAATTATCATCTTCCCCCTTTTCTTTCTCTAAACAAACGAGGATTTTATGCAGAACTCCTGGGCACCACTCTTTAGGAAGCGGGGGTGTGGTTTGTTCCGGAAATTGCATCTCAGAACAACAGGATTTCCTGCTGTCCCCAGGCTGCATTAGGGGCCCCCGGTGGCACTGTCCAGCCTCGCCACGCACTGTCCAGCACGGTAGCCAGGGGCCACAGGTAGCCACGGACTACTTGAAATGTGGGCGTTCTCACTGATATGTGCTGTGTGTGATGCATACCAGATTTTGACACTGAAAAGAGAATGTAAAATATTTCAATAGTGGAAAACAAGAGTTTTTTTCCACATGTTGAAATATCTTGTTATTAATGTTGTAATTAATGTTGACCTGACCGTGAGGTCTCCGCACACCTGAGGGACCCTGACTCCCCAGTGTGTCTTCCCTGTAGATAGGGCCAGGGCTAGTCGGGGACAAGGACCAGAGGACCAGGGGCCCATCCTCCTGTGGTCTCCAGTGCTTTGAGGATGAAGACGTCTACTTCTGTTTCCATGCATCTGTGGATTTCACATACTCCATTCTTAATCCTTGTGGGCCGACCAGAGATCTGACTCCTCCTATTCCTCAAGATTCAATGGTCGTACATTCCTTAAAGCTTTGCCTTTTAATCCCCTCCACTCTGTCTAGAATCCTCGTGAGATGCTCTTCAATCGGTCGGTCTATTCCCCTCTTAATGTAACTCCCATACTCGGCCTTTTGTTATGCCCCAGTCGAAGTGGAGGGTGGGTACCCTTCCTAGTGGGGTGGACTTGTCAGGGTTTCCCTCCTGAGTCTTGAGTGGGGCAAGTAAAACTATGTCAAGCTCTCTGCTAGGCAGTGGAGGATGCTGGGAGGAAGGGCGGACCTCAGAGACAGGGGGTTCAGCCGCCCCTGGTTCCCCTGAGGAAGGGGAAGAGGATGAGAGAACAAAGGAGGATGTGGAAAACCTTATAAAAGCAACGATCAGGCCGAGCATCTTGGTTGGACACATGTAGAAACCGGGGGCTGGACCAACAGACCCGTGCTGTCAGGGCAGGGTCTCCGTCCCCAGCAAGCTTCCCTCAACTCCCAGTGCTCCACGGGGCGGTGGGCAGCACACTCCTGCTCATTAAGCACCAACCCGGAGAATCTGGTGATGTGGAGAAGCTGGTCTGCTCCGTGGTGTCCTGCAGCTTCCCCCCTCCCCCCTGGCCCTTCTCCTACACCCCTGTCTCGGGGGTCATGGGGTCTCCAGCCAAGGCACGGAGGGCTCGCTCTAAGAGGCTCCTTCACTCTGCTTGTCCTGGCTTGGATTCTCCACCACCCCCTCGGTCCTTCCCTGTCTGACCAGGGCCTGAGGGTGAACCCAGAAGCAAAACCAGAATTGTTTTGCTTCCTCGTGGCAGTCAGTTAACAAAGCACCTTCTGCCCTCCTGACTGAAAGCAGGGCCAACCCCCGGAGGGACCTCCTAGCCCCTGCCTCCTGCCGCCAACCAGCTCCACTCTGCCTCAGCCATTGAGGCCGTGAAAAAAGCCCACGCAAACCAGCTCAGCCCTGCCCGATGCCCTCCCCATTATCGCGGCCATCAGCTCCTTTGTCCAGGGAAGCCCCAGCTTGGAAGGGGGTTGGGCTCTCCCTGTGTGTGTGCCCGGAGTGAGCCACCTCTCAGGCTTATTCCGTGAGCAAACCTGTTCTGGCTGTGAGTTCGCATCTGGCCTCCACTTTGTCCTACTCCTTTCCTTACACTTTGGTGCCCAACGTCAGGAAGGGTGTGAGAGATCAGCCCTGCACCTGCTGTGGTTCCTTGGAAGCTCATATGGCTTGCAGGCAGTCATTACGTCCATGTACCCGATGCCCTCTGGGTGAGGACTGTGATCCCCACCCTGAACTTCCCTCTGGGGGTGAGGACCACCAGGTGATCTTGAGTGTCCCACCCTCACAGACCCTCTCATCCCCAGGGGAAGCCTCCAGCCACACTGTTCCCTGCTCGGCCACATTTCTGCCCAGCTCCCACTTGCTCTTCCCTATCAATCACTTCCATTTTCCTTCCCAGAAAGATGCCGGGGACGCATGTGACTGGAAGCAACCTGGGGGAAGACTGAGCGTCTCAGGCCAAGGTCCTCAATGTGAGCCCAGATTCCCAGCTGCGACCAGACACGAACCCCCCGATAGGGAACCTGAGTGCCGACTCCCTTCCTCCACTGCTATCCTGACCCAGCGTCTCTCCTCGCTGGAACGAGGGTGAAATTCTCAGACCCCCTCCAGTGTCCTCCTTGGGGTGACTTGGGCAGGCTTGGGAGACGTCTCCCCAGGCTCCCAAGGGAGTTGAGAACCGCCTTGGTCTCTACCTCCTCATTCTTCACTTGTATCTTCTCATCTCCCTGTGAATTCTCAGCCAGAAACCGTTTGTCAATTCTTTCTTCTGCACGCAACCCTGGACCTGATTCCCAGCCCGCCGGATTGGTAAGAAGTCGGCCCTCATCTGGGCTCCCCAGGCGCCAGGGCAGGCCTAGGGGGCTGAAACTCAGAGGGCTTAGGGTGCGAGGTCAGTTCCACTGGGATCCTTCCCACGAGACTTGGTTTAGGGATGTCAGTCTAAGCGTAGGGAACCAGTGGATGGAAGATCTCTCTCTCTTCTCTCTCTCTCTCTCTCTGTAACTCTGACTTTCAAATAAATCAATAAATCTTAAAAAAAAAAAAAAGAAAAAAAGATTGGCCTCACTTTTTTTCAAACCTAAAACCCAAGATCTGGTTATGCCGCTGAACTTCCGCTGTGCTTGTGCAAGGGCCTAAAGGGTTAAAGCCCACTCCTCCCCCTCCTTGGCTGCAGTCTTTGGTTGGGGGGTGGGGGGAGGCAGACAGCTGCTTAAACTTTTTTTCCCCCTCTCTTTTTGTTAACTCCGCCCCTTTGCCTAATGGCAGGGAGGAAGAAGGCCAGTTGTCTCTCTGCCAGGCCCAGGAGCCTCCCTGGCAAGGACTCCCCTTCCCTCGCTCTCGAATGTGAGTGTAAGTTACCAGTCTCCAGTGGGCATCTCCGTGCACAGCAGCCCTGGCCCACGGGCACTCTTGGGAGCCCTCTTGCAGCTGCCTGAAGCCGTGCCTGTCACAGATAGCCACAGTCTGCTCACTGTTGAGCACGTGTCGCAGCTCTAAGGTGTTTGATGGGGGGTGGGGGTGGGGGTGGAACTAGGCTCAAATTCAACTTAAAATCTAAAGAGATGTCTTTGGCAAATAGTAACCGCAGGTATAACAATGCCAGGGTAAGGTCTGGTGCTCATTTGGTTCAGCGGGAACTGGAGCTGGGTTTACAGGGAGTTCTCTCTTCTGGATCTAGGAAGGTCGCTGCCTTGAAAAACGGCTTAGCAACTTCGCAAACGTGTTTTGTCACTTGGTTTAATGGATCTAGCCGAATTGGCTATGGGTCATCAGAGCTCTATTCTTACAGCCCCTTCGGGTAGATTTGGCAAAATTAGAAATCGTGGCTTAAGTGTATAAAAGAGAGAGATGGTGTGTTTTACAGGACACTGCTTGGCCTCAGTACTCCCTGAGACTGAGCGAGAAACGGCCACTTAATAGCCCTCTGGCTTATGCCACTGATTTCTGGCTGGAGTTGTTCTATGAGAAGGAAAGAAGATGGGAGTAAGTTCCGCCCATGCAAGCGCGTATGCTGTTATGCCAAAGTGAGCCAATACAGAGTGGGTCGGAAAGATAATTACATTAATCCAAATGTCTTTTGGGTCACAAAACTTAAGTAGATCTAAGTAAATCTTTGATAGAGAATCTGCTTTAAATTTGTCTAAAAGAAGGTTAAAGATAGCTTCACAATTGCTAACATACATGCGTGCCTGTGTTTGCCGGTCAGAAAATGTTATTCTTGGGTAGTTATTTGAACTAGCACACATTTAATTTTGACTTAAGAACAAAGAATTCAGATGAAGTTATAACACTCATTGTGTTCTGTGTACGAAGCACAATGAACTAACTTCAGAGTTTTCTTTGACAGGAAAATGATTTAAAATAGTAGGTATGCTTATCTGATGTCTGTTTCTTAAGTCTAGGTGTAGTCACTAAAAATAAATTGGATAAACATAAATGAGGTAAATGTTTCCTAAGGCAGGGCTGGTGCTGTGGTGCAGTGGGTTAAAGACCCAGCCTGCAGGGCCAGCAGCCCATGTGGGCGCTGTTCCAAGTCCTGGCTGTTCCACTTCCAATCCAGCTCTCTGCTATGGCCTGGGAAAGCAGTGGGAATGGGCCAAGTACTAAGGAGTTAGCACTATCTGCCTATTAAAAAAAAGTTTGCGTGATTATGGTAACTTTGACTAAATCTGTTTCATAGCTTTGGTTAAAATATTCAGGTTGAATGGATTACTTTTGCAAGGGTCAAAGATCTAGTTTTTCTTTTTTTTTTTTTTTAGTTAATTTAGATTGTGTAAAATACATTGTTGGGTTATGAAATGGTGCCGAATTTATGTTGTAGTTATATAAAGGTCTGATGTTTCAAGTGCCAGAGACAGTCACAGACTAAAGATGAAGAAAAAGGCCAGAAAACAACCAGGCTTTACAAGGTCAGAATATGGATCAGACAGAGGTCCAGCCAAAAGGAAGAAGACTTCCACAAGAGACAGAGACGATTCAAGACAGGTGATGCAGTGGATCCCAGAGAGCAGGCTTCTGGGACAGGGACACCAGCACAGCCTGGCAACCCAGGCCCATAACCCACTGGCTATGCGGTGAACGCCGGTTAAGTCCAAAGGCCCAGGAAGTGTGGCTATGCGGTGAGCACCGGTTAAGTGTGGTAGCCAGAGGACAGGCTAGGCAATCAGGGGGGCCTGGCTTGTTGCCTCATCCTCCTCCATTCTCTTCTAGATGGGAAACCGACCATTCTGAAGGACTCTCCATGGGATGTACAGTTTGATCCCCAGACCTTACAGAAGGGATGGCTAACCTTTTTATGTAATAATGCCT